GGATTCTACAGCTGAGTAGGTCAATTCAGACCCTTGTTGTTGCTGTTGTGTGCCATCAGGTCCACAGGACAGAGTAGAACTAACTGTCCACAGAGTTTCCAAGGCTGTCATCTTTAAGGAAGAGACTGCCATGTTTTGCTGTCCTGGAGTGGCTGGTGAGTTTGAACCTCAACTTTTTGGCTAGCAGCAGGGTACTTAATGGCTGCATCACCAGGGTGCTTAAATTTGGATCTTTAAGACCCACATAATGAAAGGCTTAGAAAAACTTGCTTCTCACTTGGCCTGAGTGGGCCCTGTTGTTGTTAAGTACTGTGGAGTCAGTTCTAACTCATAGTGACCCTGCTCAGGGTTCCTGAGGCTGTAAATCTTTACAGGAGCAGAAAGCCTCATCTTTCTCCTGCAGAACAACTGGTAGTTTCGAACTGCCGGCCTTGAGGTTATCAGCCCAATTCGTAACCAATATGCTACCAGAGTTCCTTGAGTGGGCCCTACAGCAGCTTAACTTAGCTGCTGCTGAAAAAAAGCTGTTGACTGTTTTGAAATTCTGAATTCACGGATCTTAATTACCTGAATGAAGTACTGGATGGTGCAAACAGTTAACAAGCACCTCTATTAATCAAAACATTGGCGGTTTGAGTCTACCTACCCAGAGGTGCCTCAGAAGAAAGACTTAGCATTCAACTTCTGGAAATTATCCATTGACATTCATATGCAACATAGTCTTACTTTGAAACACATGGGCTCTCAATGAGTCACAGTCCACTCATTGGCAACTTAATGTAATCGTCTGGCTCAGACTCCAGGCTGAAAGCTGACATTGTCAGCTCTGGGCTGATTTAGTCTGAATACCAGCTATGTTGAACTTAAAAACAGGCATAGGCTCAAAGAATAGAATCCAGACAATGGGACTATTAGAGATTTAGGACATCCATCCCTCTGTGGGGCCCTGGACTTTGCAAACAGTATATTTGCTGGCTGAACCATCTAAGTCTCATACAAATGCCCATAGGAAAAGACTTGTTCTCCAGTGGGACCATCTGAAATTGAGCTGTTGCTTGGTTCTGTTTCTGATACTGAGGCTAATGGTATTCCTAACTCGTGAGCCCCTGCTGAAAGCTGCGAGTTGGAGGCGGTCACAGGAAGCATGACCCCTCCGCCCACTCCAGACTGATCGGACTCTAGACTCCTCTTGAGGAATGTCTTACTCTTGCTGACTGCTGTGTTCAACTTTCCAGATCAGCTGTAGTTTGTGACTGTTTTGTCCACCTTTCACTTTAGTAAGGCTGTTTGATTATCGAAGGCAGCTGTCTCCAGAAAGGGCTCAGCTTTCTCTAGGCTGCCCACTGGATAAATGATCAGCACAATGGGAGGTGGTGGGAGTGGGGTTGACATAAACCCATTTTGAAAATTCTGAAAATCCAGGATTTTGTTCTGACCAATTCTGGAACAGGAAGTGGGAAGTTATATAAAAATGTACTTTTGTGAAAGTTCTTACATACCTCTTATACCCAGCCTTCCTGGATGAAAGGAATGGGTGAGAATGAGGGAAAAAAAAAAAAAAAAGTCAGGATCTGGGGGCGCAGGGGAGGAAGAGACGCCTATCCTGAAAACATTGCTTTTCTCCTGGAGAAAATCACCCATGTTGTTCTCCAAGCTGTGGTGGGAGCCTGAATTCGGACTGACTGCAGAGTCTGCCACCACACCTGGCTGAGACAGCAGGGGCCCTGCTCCACACTTTCACAAAGAACACCTCCGCCTCGTCACCAATACTTCAGGGGAGGTCGAGCTGACGTCAGAGAGGAGTCTAACTGTTTAGAACTGACTGCCTTTAGATAGGCCCTCTAAAACCAAGGACTGAACTGAGAACCCTAGGGTGGGAGGCCCCACTGGGAGAAGCCTTTTTGAGGGCCCTGTTAAACAGTGTTGTGGGATACCGTTGAGTCGCTTTTCAGCTCACGGAGACCCCATGTGATAGAGTAGACCCACCCCATAAGGTTTCCAAGGCTGCAATCTTTATGGAAGCAGACTGCCACATAGTTTTCCTACACGGCAGCTGTTGTGTTTGAACCACCCACCTTTTGGTTAGAAGCTGAGTGCCTTAACCACTGTGATACCAGGGATCCTTCATACTGGAGGAGCTGGCTTAATACCCAGTGCCGTCAAATTGATTTTGACTCATAGCGAGCCTGTATGCCAGAGTAGATCTGCCTCATTGGGTTTTCTAGGCTGTAATCTTAACTGGAACAGATTGCCAGGTTTTTCTTCCATGGAGCTGCTGGGTGGGTTAGAACTATCAACCTTTTGGTTCGTGACTAAGTATCTAATCCTTGTGCCACTAGTACTCCCTTGTTAATTAGCACTGTCTGACTGAAGTATGTCCTGCCCTAATCAATGCTAACTGTGTGTGGTGAGGGTGGGGTGAGGTGGGAGGCATGTGAATCTCTGGGGTTGTACTTGTGTGTGTGTCCTGACTATTGCATGGGGCCTCACACCTGAAAGGCTTTCAGGTCAGTTCCAACTCACTGGCTAGAGTTGAGCTGTGCCTCCACGGATGCCTCAGGTCAGGTCAGAAAAGTGAAAACAAAAACTGGGTGATAGTTGTGAAGCCTGAGGAGATAGAGGGGGGCACAGAGTTTATAGCTAAAGGGGCCAGAGTTTCTGTGGTGATGAAAATGCTCTGAAATTGACTAGTGATGGTTGCCTATATCTGAGGATATACTAAAAACCATTAAAAAAGAAACATTAAATAGTAATATTTATAGATTAAAACAAATAAAACTTCAGGAGGAAGCCACTTGGCTTTCTAAGATGGACCATTATAATGAATGGGATTTAATTACCCAAATTGAGGGCCCTTGAAGGACGAAACGGAGGTCAGTACAACAGTACTGATAACAGTTTAGCTGCAAAGATGCTTTGGCCAAGGGTCAAGGGGGTGAACTGTGTATCAAAGAGTTAACATAGCAGGCCTGAGGCCTGCCTGCAAGCTTGGTCCTTGTCTAATATCTAGAACTCTTGGAATGTTCTCAGTCAACAGTTAACTGATAAAAGTGATTTACTGTACAGGGTCGCTATGGGTCGGCACCGACTCGATGGCACTTAACAACAACAACAACAACAAGATGGTTTATCTAGACAGTATGGTTTTTACTGCACATCTGTCTGCTTTCTGGGAGTCTGGAAGTTTGGAAGGTGCTAGACTGAGTGTGCCTAGGTCATCTGCCTGATACAAACCTTGGGTTCTGAGTCTCTAAGAAGCCTCCCTGGACAGAAACATCACACATGTGTTGCTGCATTCTTGTTGCTAAAGGAAGTGTGCTCTGTGTGACCCCACATGAAAGGGAGATAACATGAGGAAGTCCCCATGGAGTCTTCTGTACTCAGCCCATGCCTTCTTTTCTTATGATCCAGCTGTGCATCCATCCTTACCACATCACTGTAATAAATCTTAGCAGTGAGGATAATGATATAAATCCTGAAAGCTTTTCTAGTGGGATTTAATCTCTAAACTTTTGGGTGGTCATAAGGAGTCCTGGTGTGGCGCTGTGGGTTAATGCGTCAGACTGCAAAGCCATTTGAACTGTAAGGTTGGCGGTTCAAGCTCACCAGCTGCTCCTTGGAAACCCTACACAGAGTTGCTATGGGTCGGAACCAACTCAGTAGCACTTAACAACAACAACAAGGACCCTGTAAAATCAGTGGTTTTCAGTTAAAACACAGGCCCCAACTCCAGGCTTCCTGATTTAGTAGATTTGGGGCTGGGGCCTGGGAGTAGGCATTTGTACATGTTCCCAAGTACTGCTGGTACTGCTGTTATGGGGAGCACATTTTGAGAACCACTGGCATAAGCTAAGAGACAAATGAAGAGATTCATCAATTGCAACACATGAACCTTACTTGGATCCTGATCTGGACAAATCAACTGTAAAAATAACATTCATGAGACAATTGGGGAAAATTAAACACTGACTAGGTATTGATCCTTAGGCAAGATCAATTTTGTTATGAGATAATGGTGTTTTGATTTCTTTGGATAGGTTTTATTGATAGGTACATGTTTTCTGGAGACACATGCTAATACTTTTTTTGTATGAAAATGACAAATGATATGTTGAATTTGCTTTAAAACAAGTCAGCTTAGGAGGGGAAAGTAGGTGGAGGGACAAGATGAACCCGATTGGCAGTGTATTGATAACTGTTGAAGGTGGAGACATGGAGTTTCATTAAATCATTACATACTATTCTCCCTACTTGGCTATTCTTGAAATTTCCTCTAGTAAAGACTTTTTTTTTTAAAGAGAGCTTTTTAAATCTCTTTCCATTGCTTAAAAATCACTAATAGATCCTACAACTATTTTATAAACCCAAATAATAATATAGATTTTCTAATGAAAACAACAAAAAAATCACCACCAGTTCAATATGTCCAAGAGGTTTACAGTTACAGACAATGTGTGAGGATGCGCTTTGAAATCTGAGCACTTCTAAACCTCTCTGAGCATCAGAATCAACTGGAATACCTATTAAAAAGTAAACTCTGGGACCCACCCCTAATCCAAACGCAGTAAGATATCTGAGTAAGAAATCTGTGATTTTAAACGACCTCTCCAGATGATGCTGATGTTCCCAGCCTCTAAGTGAGAACCAGAGTACTGAATGGTGCCAACTAGATAGCAGATTCCAAATGGAACATGGATTTGTCTAGAGTTTGTCTAGGCAGGATGCTATTGCCATGTTCTTGGGAAGATTTAAACTGATATTGCTTTCCTGGGTCATGGCACTTCATGATTTTTCTGCCTTTGTCATCTGGTATTTGATGGATGCCCCGTTACCCGTAGTATTACTGACAAGGCAGGTAGGAGAGATAGGAGCAGAGAAAAAGGTGCAATGTGGGATGTAAAGGTTTTGGAAGCAGCCAGAAGCCTGCCTCAGTTTCCTAATGGAGAGGAATATGGGTAGCTTGCTTTAGAAAGAGACAGACACTGCACTGAGCTGCTTACCATGGCAAAACCAACATCCGCTTTCTTCAGAGCTGGTCCATCATTTGTGCCATCACCGGTGACAGCCACCACCTGTCGCTGCTCCCCTACAGTGCTGTCAATGATGCCTGGGGGATAGACACACGAGCCACAGTAAGTCCAAAAGTGAGGTCTGGGACACACACACACACACACACACACACACACACACAGTAGCCCACAAGTACTGTCTGGGAAACTAACACACATGCACAATGATCCTACGTGTATTATCTGAGGCCATTTGGCAAGCACTGTGCTCCCCATCAAATCATCCCCACTGGTTCTGGTCACATGCAGCATGCCCCACCCCCTAAATTCCTTTTTCCTTCCCTCTTCCCACAGAAGATAAATTGTTTCATGGGTAGCATTTTGAGCACTGACAGTTTATCCTTGTTAGATGCTCTGTCTGGTGCCATAAAGCAGCTATTATGTATGAAGAAAGCACTAGAATGATTTCAAAGCAGAGACCTGGGGTTCAAATGGTACCGTTTCTACCTACAAGTTAGGCGACTGGGCTACTTGCTTATCCATCTCAGCCTCAAACTTCCTTATGTATAAAATGGAAATCATTGTACTAGTCCTGCTTATTTTTGTTGTTAAGTGCCGTAGAGTAGGTCTTGACCCACAGCAACCCTGTATAGGGTTTCCAAGGAGTGGCCAAACTTTGCAGTTCAAGCCGACTTTGCAGTCCAGTGCATTAACCCATAGCACCACCGCAGGACTTCTGGTCCTGCTTAAGTCACAGTATTACTGGCCTAGGTCACAGTATTATTGGCAAACAAAATATGCAAATGTTAAAAAGAAAAACTTTTATTACACATCAGATATTTGCTAAACTGTATGTTCTCCCTGTCAGCCTGGGACCTCTCCTCATCCCTCTCTATTCAGGACATGAGAGTTGCTTTTAGCTGATGGGTCTCATCTGTCCTCACCCCAGTCTGCCTTCATGTATCCTAGGCACCTACTACTCAGGAGCCGATCTCACCTTTCACCAGCGTGTGCTTGTCAGTGGGGGAAGATCGCGCCAGGACTCGAAGCTTAGGCCAGACCTTGTCGAGCTTTTCTTGCTCTACCTGCCAACACCAGACCATACCTGGATCAGTTAAGATCAAAACAGTCATCCAAGAAAACTCTTACTTCTCTACACCCTCAGCTTCTGTTACTTCAGTATTACCCTGGCCACCAGGATAGTTGAAACAGCCAATCGCAGTCACCCCTGGGGAATTCATTAACAGTGGCCATTCAGACCCCATCCATCTTCTGTTTCTTCCAATTCCCCACCTGGGAGCCAGTCTCCTATTGCTTAGGCCCTTGACCGGAGGTGGCCAGGGTTGGCTGTTGACTGAGGTGGCTAGAAGTGGCGTTTCTGAGGTCTTAGGTTTGATTTCTATGTAGACCAGGAAGCTTTTCTCTGTTCCACACCCAGACCACATCCTCTTGCAAATCTGTGCCACTGTCAGTCACAAGGGCAGTGACATAGATGGCAGGACAAAACCAGCCCACGAACTGGAGAAATGGAAAGATGTGAGACGTTAAGACACTGTCTCAAAGGACAGCTTGTGAGGGAAGATGATGGGCAGCTTTGGTAGAAGAGGAAGTTTCACTGTGAATAGATTTTAGTTTAACTTCCCCATATGTCCCGATGCCTTCCACCAGAAGTGGCCCTTCCCTTATCATGGAGTTCCTGGGTTCCCCACCCATCCACCCCAGGACCAACCTCGCCCTTCTCATTACGGATGAGTCGGTTGAATTCTTTGCCTTCTAAGCACAGGAAGTCATCCCCAGGTGTCAGAATGCCACATTTTGTGGCAATGGCCCGAGCTGTGTTGATGTTGTCACCTGTCACCATTCTGACAGTAATGCCAGCTTGTTTGCATCTGGCAATAGCATCTGGCACCTGTGGATAGTGAAGAAAGGGATGGTGGTGAGGATGCTGGGTAAGCCGCCCTGTTGAACTCTCCCTGGAAGCAGTGGCACGGGGCACAGGGTCAGCCTGGTCATTTTCACATGCTTGGTGCCACCTGACTTCTGCCCATCCCACAACACTCACATGTGAACTGGCCTTGTTGGACCATGTGTGGAAGGGAAACCTTGTCCTGGGGTCCAGGTGGTAAAGGCTTACTCTTCCACTTACAATTCAGACTCCTCCACGGGGCACAGGTGGCCTTTAAAGATGTGGCCACTGCCAGGAGTTCCAACCCCTCCCCATCCACAGACTCCGGACTCCAACCACACCAATGGTGTGTAGTTTCTCCAAAGCATGGCCCCGCTTTTATGTCTCAGGGCCTTGACAATCAATGGTCCATCTGTCTGAACTTCTGGAAGGGAAGAGACCTTTGCCATGCTCAGTGTCTAGAATAGTGCTTATTAGCACAGAGGGGATGCTCAACAAGAATGTGTGGTTGAAAGAAGGTAGTTAAAGACAAGGTTGGTGCTCTGATTAATTAAGCCCCCTGACTAGTTCCAATGACCAAATACACCCAATTAAATCTATGCTTCTCAGTGACTCAGCATTAACCCTGGGAATGCCACCTTCCATTAGTCCAGCACTCCACGGCAGTTCTGAGAAGGACTAGGCACACAGAAACAACTATTTCTGTAGGTGAGAAGCAGGTAGGGGTTCCAAACAGAATGGAAACTGGTACCCCACTTCTAGTGACTCCTTGGAGCTTCCCATGAGGTTACACATGGTCTGCATGAGCTACGGGCTGTTGAAAAACCACCATTCACGCTTTCTTATTCTTTCTCCAAACCAACGCCTCACCTCTGGGCGCACGGGGTCCTCGATGCCCACCACTGCGATGCAAGTGAGTTCAGTGAGGATTTCATTCTCATTGTCCCACAAGGGCTCTGCGTCATTGAATTCCCGGTAAGCTATACAGATGGTCCGTAGCCCCTCACAGGCCATTGGCTCAATGACAGTGCGCACCATCTCATCGCGGTCCTTGCTTTTGAAAGGTACTGCTTCCCCATCCTTGTCCAGGATTCGGTTACACCTGGTGAAGCACACAGTCAGAAAGCAGCAACCCCTCACCCCCTTCTCACTCAGCATGCTTTCAAGAGTATCTGTAGACAACTCTGGTTCTTGGCCAGAAAGTTCCTCCTCTATCCACCACCCTGCTCAGTCCCTCTCTGTAGGTCTGGCTGTGGATGGAGCAAGGTCCAGCTAGGCAGAGTGTGGGTCTCTCATGCCAAGACTCACTTATAGACTGCTTACTCTTGAACTTCTCATCAGGAGACTCTCCGTTCCCATTACCTCGAAGAGTGCCAGGTACACAGGAAATGCCTGTGTGTGGTGACTGAGAGAAGATAGCTAAGGCCCTAGTTACTTCATTTCTACTGGCCATAGAGGCAAGTAGGACCAGCTTTTAATGACCTTCTGATAGTCTATGCACAGTCCTTATAATCAGACGTTACAATGGGAAAGAAAAGAGAGAAACAATATTTCTAGTACTTACTATGCATGGGCACTTAACGTACATGTAATCTTTTAATTATCACAGTTACCCTATGGGGTAGGTGGGTATAGTTATCTGTTTTCTGATTAGGAAACAGAGGCTTGGCTTGCCTAGCTCTGAATCCTGGCAGGGCCAGTTAGCTATATGACCGTGAACACATTTTTCATTTGTAAAACAGGGATCATAATAATACTGCCTCAATGAGTTGTTGTGAGGATGAAACAACCGCCAGCCATGTAAGCACTTAAAGTAATACTTGGTCTGAGTAAATGACCAAAGCCACTTGGCAGAGTGGACTCTCTCATTATCCAGATGGGCTCAACATGGGGCATGTACCCCAGACCTTTTGAAAGGCAGGGGCATGTCCCTGGGACCTTTCGGAGGGGAGGAGCATGAAGGAGAGAAGAGGAGGGAGGAAGGGGCTGCTCACTTGCGCAAGATGATCTCAGAGGCCCCCTTGCTGTACATGCGGAAGCCACCGCCGGGCTTCTTGATGACCGTGCTCATTGACTTGCGCACCGAGTTGAAGGTGTACACCTTGTAGAGCTTCTCCTCGGGCACCTCATTGCGCACCGCCTGGTAATCCTGCTTCAGATCTTTGACAAAGCCCAGCAGTGCACACTCAGTCTTGTTACCCACTTGCCGAGACAGGCCTCCCTCCTTCTCTGGAGGCTGAGAGAAAAATACACATAGGACTGTTGAGTAAGATGCCACAACCATGGAGAGAATGAGGAACGAAAGCACTCCCTCACAGAATGTTCACATGGGTACCCAGAGCCCTTGCGGAGAAACGGTGCTTGTTCTGTTTGAGAGAAGACAGCCAGGGCTCACTGAGCCATCCAGCACTTTTCAGCTTGTCCTCGTGGTGGAGGTGTAATCTCATCCCTTGCACTCTTGTTGTTAAGTGCCATCGAGTTGGTTCTGACTCATAGCAACCCTGTATAGAGTTTCTGAGGAGTGGCTGGTAAGTTTGAACCGCCGATTTTTTGATTCAAAGCGACCTTGCGGTCCAGTGCTTATCCTACAGTACTATACCAGGACTCCTCACCCTGCATGGGAGGGTCTTATTCTAACACCTTCTCTTAGTTTCTAGAAACTAAGCAATTTCCTTTTGATAAATTCAATTCTGCTGCCAGTGTGAAGTCCTTCCTTAGAGATACTACCTAACAGGGTCACTGGAGGCTATTTCCTTCTATCCCCATGGATCATTCCCCAGTCTCACTTTAAAGGTGTTCACCGAGGAAGGAGAAATGAGATATGGAATGGCAGATTAAACATTTCCCTCCAACCACCCATTCTGAGTATCTAGGCAGAGGGAGAGCTTACCATAATCTTGGAGGTATAGGCACTGTTGATAGAAATGCCATTGACAATAAGGTCCAGGACCTTGGGCTGCAGGGCATCAGGACTTGGAATCTGACGGTAGTGGGTGCCGCCAATATGGGCCTGCACCACGGTCATGCGGTTCATGGTCAACGTGCCGGTCTTGTCGGAGCAAATGGCAGTGGCATTGCCCATGGTCTCACAGGCATCCAAATGCCGTACCAGGTTGTTATCTTTCATCATTTTCTACAAAGGAGAAACAGACAAAACTCCAGAGGGGATCATGGGGCACTTCCAAATATAGGCCTAAAAGCTCTTTCCTAGGCAACATCTTTCTACACAAAAATGCAGCATAAGATTTTTGTGAACCACCCCAAGATTCCATCAGGTCACTTAACTGTAAGTGATCGCGAGTGTTCTTGCAGAGTACCAGGGGCTAATGCACTCGTAAAGTGTTGCCCGAAGTACAACGGCCTTTGTATTTCACCAAAGGCTACCTGGGGCCCACTCCTCCCTTCTCTGTCCTAGAGGAAGAGACTGCATGGTCCCAGTCTTACCTTCACAGAATACGCCAGTGAGATGGTGACAGCGAGTGGCAGCCCCTCAGGCACAGCCACCACCAGCACAGTGACGCCGATGATGAAGAACTTGACAAAGTACTGGATGTAGATGGGGGTGCACTCAGCTAGCCATGGCTTCCGCTGAATCACAAAATTGTCAATCACGAAGTAGAGAATCAGGACAAGGACTGTGATGGCAGACATGATCAGACCTGTCCAGGGAAACAAATCACATGAACCCAGGCTTTAGGACATTTCAAGGTCCCTGGGCCACCAGGGCCTTGACTAGGTGGACTTGCAGCCAACATAATATGTATTTGTATTTTGATTGTGGTAAATATATAGGTACTAGAACACATGCCATTTCAGAAATCTTTACATGGGCAGTTATATATGTTCATTGTATTATGAACCATTGTTCGATTTTTCCATCACTCTAAGTGTTGTGTATTCCCTCCCACTTGCTGCCAGTTTTCAAAACTACCATTTTGAGGAAGTCATACTAAAACCTACCCTTCCCTTTCTCTGTTGCTTATAGGTCATACCAAAAAACCAAACCAGTTGTCACTGACTCAATTCTGACTCATAGTGACCCTAAGGACAGAGTTGAACTACCACTGTGATTGGTGAAGTGGAGGGTCAGTGCAAAAGAGGAAGACCCTCACTGAGTTGGACCAACACAGTGGCTGCAACAATGGGCTCACACATAGCAACAATAATAGTGTGAGGGTGACGCAGGACGGTGTGTGAGGGTGACGCAGGACGGTGTGTGAGGGTGGTGCAGGATGGTGTGTGAGGGTGATGCAGGACGGTGTGTGAGGGTGACGCAGGATGGTGTGTGAGGGTGGTGCAGGATGGTGTGTGAGGGTGGTACAGGATGGTGTGTGAGGGTGACGCAGGATGGTGTGTGAGGGTGACACAGGACTGAACAGTGTTTCATTCCATTGTGCATAGCTGTAGGGTTGCTATGAGTTGGAGTCAGCTTGATGGCACCTAGACGACAACAACAAACCTTTACAAGCGGGACTGCACATCTTTCTCCCATGGAGTGGAACTGTCGACCTTCTGGTTAGCAGCTGAACACATACATCATTTGCTGCTGTTATTGCTAATTGCCATCAGAATGTAGTTGAAAAGGCACTCGTTTCTCATTCCAAAGACACAGGTTCTAGTTTTAGGTCTGCATTAACTTGAGTCTTGGCTTTGGATTAGTTGCTTATCTTCTCTGTGCTTATTTCCTGTACCAAATTCCTCATTTGTAAATAAGGGGGTTAGTCTAATTTTTGGAAAGAGCATTCTGGATTCTATCCCAGGGATGCTCACTCTCTTATCACAATTCATATTCATACAATGTTGTTCTAGTTGTGTTAGAAATTTACCATCAGAATGTCTCCTGTTCTAGTGTTGTGATTTCTGGGTACATTCCTTCTACTGTTAGCATACTACCTAAGTGACTAACCCCTAAAACAGTGCTTTCTAAATGTTCTCTTGTCCTGGCACACATAGAAAATGACAATACTAGCAAACACTTATACAGTGCTTACCATGGGTCAGGCAAGTAATATATGGCGAAACTAACACATGGCGAGTTTTTTGGCAGGGTGACCAATCATCCCAAGTTTGCCTGGGATGAGTAGTTTCCCAGGATGCAGGAACTAAAACTGATAAAAGTCTCAGGCAAACTGAAGCAACTGGTCATTCTACACACTGTGGTAAGTAGAAGAATCTGCCCAATGTGAAGAAAAAACAAACCCCAAAACTGGCCTAGGTGTACAAACTACTGCATGGCCACTCTGAGGGAAGAAGGGATCAACATCTGGGCACTGCTGGGACCTATCTGTGGCACAGTATGTAGAAAGAACTCTGCTCTAAAATCTCTAAAATACAGCCTGGTCTTGGTCTTTGCTTTTACTGAGGATCTGATGACCCAGCAGCATCAGAGCAAGGCTGGAAGTGATGATGTCAATGAAGGCAGATTTGTTGGACTTTTGCTTTGATCAAAGTGAGGACTATGGTGAAACAGTGAGATAAGTTAAGGTTCTGTGTCAACGTGGCAGGGCCAGGATGCTCAGTGCTTTAGTAGTTAAAAGTATGGATCCCCCATAATGGTATGTGTGGCACTGCAGGATAAGCACTGGACTGCTAGTCAGAAGGTCAGTGGTTCAAGTCCACCAGTCACTCCTCAGAAATTCTGTACAGGGCCGCTAAGAATAGGAATCAACTCGACAGCACTTAAGGACAACAACAATATAATATAGTCACCTCCATGATGTGATCTGACGTGATGTGCCCCAAACTGATGTAGTTATCCATGTGCTTAAATCCTCACTTCTCTGATATTAATAAGGTCAGGTGCAAGCTACAGGATTAGATTGTATCTTAAACTAACCTTTTCTGAGATATGAAAGGAGAGAGAAGTAAGCAGAAAATGAGGGACTCATTGCCATCAAGAAGGAGGAACTGGGAGTGTAGTTCATCCTTTGGACCTGGGACTCTACACTGTGAAGTTCTTAAATCAGGAGATGATTGATGCCAAGACACGGGATCTCCAAGGAATGCTGAGCCTACAGATGCTGCAAAGGGGAGTTTTACTCCTATAAAGATTTACAACCTTGGAAACCCTATGAAGGATTGCTGTGAGTCGGAACCGAATCAGTGGCACACAGCCACCACCAGCAACAGCCTCTTAAACTGTGACAGGATAAATTTCTGCTTGTTAAAGCCACCAACCACTTGCAGTGTTTCTGTTATAGCAGCACTAGAGAGCTAAGATGGGCAGGCAAGGTGCCGAGGGAGCAAAACTGAAGGGCACACTCACTCCCAAAGTCACGTGAGACATCTTACTTGTCTCGTTCTAGTCCTGCCTGCTTGGTATATAAAATAAAACAACAGAGAAGACTGGTGGCCAGCCTTCAGGTAGCCTGCACCTCCTAAGGAGAATAAGGCAGGTGTTAGAAAAACAACAGGAGGGCTAGGTGGGGCCTGTTTCATGTTTTAAGTCTAGCTTCAGAACTAGGCTTAATAACTTGATGCTGTATCTGCAGCTCACCTCGTTCGTGTAGAGTTGAAACGTGCTGGGTACTAAAATCGAGTGAGGAGGCTAGAGGAACTCTGTCCACTAGAACTTTCTGCAAGGCTGGTAGGTAGCCTGCTCGATCCAATGCGGCATTCAGCAGCAACATGAGGCTATCAGGCAATTGGAATATGGCTAATGGGACTGAGGAAATGGAATTTTCAACTTTAATTAATTGGAAGAGCCACATGTGGCTAGTAGCTGCCAGAATGGACAATACAGACCCCTGCTCCCCAACATCTGGTCAACAGATCAGTAGCCTTGGCATCACCTGGGCCCTGTTAGAAATGTAGAATCTCAGGCTCCAACCCAGACTTCCTGAATTTGAATCTACAGTTTAACAAGAGTGTCCGGTGACCTATATACATAGAGAAGAAGGAGCTAGATTATGACTGTGGTAAATAGAGAGGCAGGTCAGAAAACCACTGTTGTTGTTAGCCCCTGATTCATGGTGACCCCGTGCACATTGCTGACCAGTCCTTTGCCATCCCCATGAGTGGTCACAGAAGAAATTATTGTCATCTGTCAGCTTCTCACTGGCTGAATTTTGGAAGCATATCACTAGACCTATCTTCTTTGTCTCTTCCTAAGCTCTACTGAACTTACACAGCACCACAGCAACATACAAGCCTCCACTCACAGGCAAGTGGCGACTGCATCTGAGGTGCACTGACTAGGAACTGAACCCCGATCTCCCAGATGGAAGGTTAGAACAGTGGAAGAGTCTGTACATTTAGGGATATGGTCACTGAAGGAGCAATCCCCTTGTTTCCACTTCCTACACATTTTTAGTGACCTCTCTCCTGGTGTGGTGTGATCAGCACTGGACTGCAAATCACAAGGTCCGCAGTTCAAACACACCAGCTGCTCCTGGGAAACTCTATATAGGATCGCTATGAGTTAAAACCAACTCGAAAGCACTTAACAACAACCACCTCTGGAATGGACGGGAAAGAGATGAGGCTTTCTGCTCCTGTAGAGATCTATAGACTTGGAAACCCTATAAAGGGTCACATGAGTCAGGACATATTGTCAGGAGGGACCACTCACTGGAAAAAGATATCATGCTTGGTAAAATGGAGGGCTGGTGAAAAAGCAGAATACCCCCAACGAGATAGACTGGCACAGAGGCAACATCAATGTGCTAATGATTGTGAGGTTGGCCCAGGACTGGGCAGGTTTTCATTTTGTTGTGCATAGGGTCGCTATCAGTTGGTATTGACTTGATGGCACCTAACAACAACAACAACAACAACAACAACAACAACAACAACGAGTCAGGACTGACTCAACAGCACACGCAGCAGCAGCCTCTGGAAAGGGTCTCTCTAAGCACTATTCTCCTTTGCCTCCAACCTGGATTTTGAATTTCCTTTAGGTTCCTTGGCCAGATGCTGCTCCCATGCTAGGGAACTGCCTCCAGCAAATTCAGGCTTCTCAGTCCCAGGTACGCAGCTCTTAAAGCATTTCTCCTCAGTAATGTACATCTCCCCTGTGGTGCTATAAACTCTTGATTTAACATTTGTTTGAATGAAAAAGACCTCAGGGCCTACCAGCCTTTCAGATGGGTAACATCTTTGAACAGAGTTTAGAAAGGTTCTCTCTGGTAAGGACAGCCAACTCAAAGGGGAGCTGATGAAAAGTCTTGGAGGTGGCCAGAGGGTGACCTCAAGAGGGACACAACTACCTGAAGCTTATGAGTCCTTCAGAAGTCTCAGTTTATTTGTCCTGCCAGTCCTGGGGGGTATACACAAAGCAGGGAATCAAAGTGGTCCCCCCCCCCC